GTGACCATGCAACTGCTGGCAGAGGCGAAAGAGTACATGAATACTGTCGAACAGGATCCGGCTTGGCAGAAATCCGTCGTGAGGAGAAAGCCACGGCAGCAAGATGCTGGCAAAGTAATTACCAGATCACCAGGCAAGTCTGCATTTCTTTTGGAGGTGCAGCAAGCCAGAGAGGCTGAGTGCTTGGACACGAGGGATGGCAGCAGCGCTTCCTCGATGATCTGGGGGTCAGACGGCGAAAGGACCGATCCGGGCGAACGGAGTGTTTCAAGCCCTCCGGTGCAAGGAGACCAGTTGAGCTTGCAGGAGCATCTCGAACTGTTAAATTCTGGTGTCTCTGAGGAACGGCAGGTCCTCTACGAGGTCCAGCAAGATGGCTCGATCTGCTTCTTCCTGTAGTTCACCGGTTTCGGAGCAGGTGACACCTGTGAGCTTCTGAGGCGGGGGAGGATGCGATGCACTCACAGCATGTTCGTGTGTTCCAATCTATGCCTGGATCGACTTCTAAAGGGCCTGCAGTTCATCCATCCTTGCCAGACCTACCTTTTTAAATTTACTTACCGAATGCATCTGTTGCGAGTTCAAAGAACTTCTCTTGATGCATGAACTTTTCGTAACTTTTTGTCCGAAAGCATAGACGCTGGGTACGCGCTGTCTTCCATTGCGGTCAAGCTGAGTTCCTTCAGTCACTGAAGACGCCATTGCGGAGCAGCCCCGGCTCATGCCTGAAAGCCTGATCGGATAAAAGGCTGAGGCATATAACTTATTATATGATGATGATGGTGATGATGATTATTATCCTTATCATTACTGTGATTCAATTATGAGTATTATGATTAGTATTAGTGTCATGAATCTGTCCGCTATGGCCGGTGTGTGATCTAACATGGGCCCCCCCAGCTGCAACGTATGATGGGCACAGTTCAGCAAGCCGTACCCTCAACGGACTCTGTATGCGCGGAGTTCCAGCAGGTGACATCTATTTCCGGATGCTACAGGGTGCTCTTGGAATGGGGTTTAGGGTTTGTTGAAGTGATGCCTTTGCTTGTCAAGAAGGACTCGGTGCACAGCTCTCGTCTGCAGCCCAAACCCCATCCCCGAAGCCTGAAATACCCCTAAACCCTAAACCCTAAGCCCCCACAGCCTCAACCCCAAACTCTGAACCTTTTGACCCTAAAGAACCCTAAGCTTCCGCTCGAAGGTTACTTGTGGGGAAGCATGGCAGCGGCCTATGCACCTGGGCAGCAGGGGCGATGACAGACTGAATCACAGAGGTTATGTGTGCCTCACTAGTTACCAACGATAATCCTTGAGGTTCCTTCTTGTAAAATATGCGTATTATAATACATCCCCACACCCTAGTCTAGTTACTAATGCGACGCTTGTGTTGAGGATCCAACTTTGAGCTAGCAGCTAGCATCTACCTATTTGTGTTTGCCCGTGATGGGTGTTCTAAACACGATGGTCTTCGGTTGATACAATGCCGGCCAATCCTCCGTCCACAAAGTTTGCTTCAGAGACCCCTCGAAAGGAAAGCGACTTGCGCAAAAAACAAATCACAACAACTAATATACACATATACATATCTATCTATATATATATAGATAGATAGATAGATAGATAGATAGATAGATCTAAAGGTCCCTTTGTGGGGATTACGTAAAACGGTTTTAACATGTGAAGTAGTGTGTCCGCGAAAGATCCGCAACGGCGAAAGGCAAGCAATAATCCGCGAAAGTTGTTGTGTACTTGATTTGCCGTATAGGCCTTGTAAGGTATATGCTGTACTAGTCCGTAGGCATACAGGTCTCAAGCTCGCTGTCCCGCCATGNNAGCGCGAAAGATCCGATAAAGATGCGCGACAGACGCCGCGAAAGAAGCCGGGTCGCTTGAAGGCTCTACTGCTACTGCTACCGCTGCTGCTGCTGCTGCTACTACTACTACTACTACTACTACGACGTCGACGACGACGACGACTACTAGGCCACTGCTGCGACGACCAGCAAGATGACGACCACCACGAGAACGACCACTGCTGGGACAGCGACGACGACGACAACATAGCATGAACTCGCAAAATATACGGGAGTCAGTCGAATAAAGCATATCACCGCATGAACCTAGTACACTGCAGCGTCATCCTGATCGGGTATGGCACCAGCTCGCACAATGCAAGTCAAGGCGAGAGGGAATGCGAAAGCGATGCTATGCGTAATGTGATGCGGACCCGTGTGTACTGAGTGCCATAGGCACAGCAATTCAATGCAGGGACATACGATATGGTGGACTACCCCCTGCCATTGACACTTCCAGATCGAAGTTCGAAATCCGGGACTGTGGCTCATGGAAGCATCTGGGTGTCGAGGTGCGAGGTTCGCTTCCCGAAGCAAACTACGAAAGTCCAAGCCGCGGCTCCCTAAAGCCCACGACCCTAAACCGTAAATCAGGAGAAGGGCGACAGAACGTTTTGCGGCTTGAAGCTTCCGGATGGGTACTGTGCTTAGAACGCTTCAGCTTGAGGAGGCTGATTTCCATTCAAAACGGCCAGAGGTTTGCACCTGTGAAGCGGGCTTGTTGTGAGGATAGATTTACTTGCGAAGGAGTCCACTCTGACATCCGAGATCGGTCATGCTCAGAAACGCAGAGGTGAGCTCGGAAATCAACTTAAGCCAAGTCTTTCGGAAGAGCCCCGGGTCGGATCTACTCCGCGCACAGCCCAAGGTTTCTGGAAGAGTAGCCCTAGTACAGTCAGCAGAGTTCATGTAACGTGAATATGCGAAAATGTATCCCCACAACCCTATCTAATTTTTAAGACTCCTGCTCCTTTCATAACCCCACAGCCGCAAGCCCTAAACTCCAACAGCACCTGCCTCGGCACATGCCTGATCTCGTATATAGATAGATAACAGGCAGGTAGATACTTCAGTACGTAAACATGTAGATGGACAGTTCAGACAGTTCAGATAGATAGACAGTCAGACAGTTCAGATGGACAGTAAATTAAGGCTGATCCGCTTCCAGAAGCTCGACAAGCCCATCTTCACACCCACGACCAAGGCCGAAGTGGGCCCCGGCCTTGCATCCGTTTCAGCCTATACACGATCTATCCATCTATCTATCTATCTATCTATCCATCTGTCTATCTATCCATGTATCTATCTAGCTAGCTAGCTATCTATCCATCCATCGTTCTATCCATCGTTCTGTCTGCATATATATATATAATATGTACATACTATATATATATATACAAACACATAATTACTCTCTCTCTCTCTCTATATATATATGTAGTAACAGACACTGTTGCCAAAGAATAATCCAACATACATATATATATATATATACGCAGATAGAGATGGATGGATGGATGGATGGATAAATAGATAGACACATACTATAATAAGTAGAATATACAGAATATTTGAAATATATATGTTATTGTTGACGGTGCTATATTAAACTATGTCATACTAAATTATACTATATTATGTTATATTTTATTATGGAGGATGTGTACGTAGAACATATAGCGAATTATAATATAGTATGTTAATTGTTTTAATATAATACAATAGGTTATAGCATGATACAATGTAATATCATGAAATGCAATATAATATAATGTAATATGATGTAATACAGTATGATGTAACATAGTATAGTATAGTATCGTATAGCATAGCATGGCATAGTATAGTATGGTAGAGTATAAGATAACCTAGTATAAGATAAGAAAAGTACACGTCTGTGATTTGGATGTTGATATTTTTATTCTTTCGAACGGACGTCGATGCCTCGTCCAATTCGTGGGGTGTCACGATAAGAGCTATGAGCAAAATGTCATAGGTCTGCCTGGCAGACTGCTGGTACTAACATTCCTGCTTTGCAGAGTGTACAATACTCTTTCAAATGCCCCGCCTCAAAAGCAACTGTTGTGGTTCAAGAAGCTGCCATAAGCTAAGAGCTTACGACGCAGGTTGTAGGCATCTGATCCAAGTGTCCGAGCCATTCCCGCTGCACAAACCGTCGGCTGAGCATCGTCCTCTCCGAGAAAAAGGAAATCTTTGTCCGAGTGCCTGCAAGGGAAAGCGTGAGAGTGAAGCCCACGACTACTACCACAACTATTAGGCAGCCACATCCACATCAGCTAGCTTTGTGAGGTGAGCGACCAAGGGAACATCGTTTACAAACCGTTACGCAATTCAGACATGCACCCTATACTATACTGCTTCAAGTATTGTTCGCGGTGATCTAGCCGTATAGTCTCTGCTGTTGAAGCATGATTTCATATTCGTTTGGGTATTCCCTAAACCCGAAACCTACGACCTACACCCCAAGTTGGCAACATGGTTGTTCAGCCAAAACCCCAAGGTCACGACGAGAACATGACCATGGAAGATATGGAGAAGCTTCTGGGTGCTAGCCTCAGCCCCTGCGCCACTGCGTCTTCATTACAACAGATCATGCAGGGTTGCGAAACGCCATGCGTGTGACGTCAGTGTCTCATCGGGCGTATACGTACCTGCAGAGCATTTAGGCAGCTTGATGTTGCACCCAGTATGTAACGTAGAACATGATCCGGGTCAACGCTGACATAAAGTCTTGGGAGGACATTTCGGCAGCCAAGGTATGTAGGCCTCTTTTAAGGGACGGGGATTGTTGGAAAGCGACGCCATTCGCCTGAAGAGCGACCGGCACCGATTTGTGGCAAGGTTCTCTCATTCGCCTATTCGTATCTTTGATCCATGCCGAGGTTTCCGCATTTCAGGTTTTTTGACATGTTGGAGCCATGCCGATGTTTCGCATCGGAGGTTGCCAAAGCGTCGGCACGCTCAAAACTTGTGCAAACCTTCAAGGCATAGATTCTACGCCCAAGATCCTAGACTTTATGGTTGCGGGATCATCCCTTTTCCATGCAGCTTTTTCGGGTATTTGGGGTGTTCTGATCTCTGCCGAGGTTTCCGCAATTCAGAAAATTTCCATGATCCACTCTTCAAGCAAAAGCGAGGTAGATCAGGGTGAGTGGGCGGTGGATGAGCATAAGCACGTGAATGCAAGCATACATCAATAATTCAACATATGAATAATGCACACGTGCATAAATCCGTAAATAAGAGCAGCAAGTAATGCACGGTACTAAGTTGTGATTGAAAGCAAAAGCAAAGGCATACATACAGATGGTACCAGTTGTATACAGTTAAGACTGTATGTGTACTCATGCATGTCACGTGTGCATGTATGTATGCATGGAGTATGTATGTATGCATGTATGTATGTGTGTGTATGTGTATGTATATGCATATACATATGTATATGTATGTGTTTATGTGTGTGTATGTATATTTATGTGTGTGTGTGTCTGTGTCTGTGTCTGTGTGGCTGTGTGTTTGTGTGTCTGTGTATCTGTGTATCTATGTGTCTGTGTGTCCGTGCGTATGTGTATGTGCATGTGTATGTGTATGTGCATGTATGTATGTATGTATGTGTGTATGTGTGTGCGTATGTACGGGTGTATGTATGTACGTATGCGTGTATGTATGTGTGTGTGTGTATTCGTGTGTGTGTATGTATGTGTAGTTAGTGTGTATGTGTGTATGCGTGTATGTGTGTATGTATGTATGTATGTATGTAGGTAGGTAGGTAGGTAGGTAGGTAGGTAGGTAGGTAGGTATGTATGTATATGCATGTATATGTCTGTATATATGTAGTTCTATTTCGACAGATAGAGGCGAGCAACAAGAAAGCCGAAATGAGCAAGCTCCGAACAAAGAACACCCACAAGCCCAAATTAGCTGCATTTGTCGAGACAGTCCCGAAAGGATCAAAGTTACCAAAGACCCCAAGGCCCGCACAACACTGTTTCCCGAGACAGTCCCCACAAACAACACTCAAAACCCACAAACCCCAAATTAGCCTATTTCTCGAGCCATTACTTACCAACTGCACAAGCTTGAGCTCCTCTGAAATGTCAAGGTAAGGAGCTCGCTCAAAAGGCCATGGAAGCTGCCATGAAGCTGTTCCAGCGAGGCTCTGTGTGTTGCATTTTGGGCACGGAGTGTGCGCTCCCAAGGTGAAGGTTTGTCGGGCCACGGAACCGAAACCCACATATTTTCTGCCCCAGCAGCCCTAGATCCCGAGACAGTTCCTCAACCCTGAAAGCCTGGAGCCCTGAGCCCGGAAGCCCTAAACTCTAAACTACTCTACTAACTCTACTGGAGGGCCTAAGCTCCGAACACTTAAGTTCGAAGACTGAAACACCTGCCCTAGACAGGCTTGAAAACCCTAAATTTTAAAGCACACCGACACCCCCCGGAACCGGAAGAACCCTGAGACTCCCCTTGAGAGAGAGAGCCGTTTGATGCAGGCAGGGAGGAGATTTTGGATGATTTTGAGTGGGTTCAGGGGTTGAGGGTTTGGGGTACTGGCTTTACAGAAGTCGCGGTGAGCGTTGTTGATTTGGAAGCCGTGGGCATGGTCAGGATCTGAGCTGATGCGAAAGCGGGGGCTGCTGCTCCTGGTGCGCCGAGGGCATCTGAGTCATATGTGGGGTTCTTGCTTCTGGCCGCTCTGAAGATGTCGGACCTGAAAGTCCGGAGCCAGGACACCAAGTACGAGTTTGGGTTGGACGACAAAGGTGTGATCCACGTCATCGATGAGGCCCTACATGGTCCTGCATGATTTGATTCTCTGGTCTTGAGCGAATCCGGGACCCTTCTGAGCCTGCCGCCACGCGGGTATCATGTCCCGTAGCAAACAGCAAGAGTCGTGGGAAATGCCACTACTAGAACCGGCCTGATGAAAGTCGCCATACTTATGGTGCCTTAGCTTCACGCTGCAGCCCTGAAGGTGAACACGCCAGACTCCTCGCGCATGTGCACGATCGAGGTCTGTGGGTTTCTGACACTCAGCTGTGCTTGAATTTTCCCGACCCCAGGGACAAGTCTTCCCGTTGCCGACCCTGCAAGATATAGGCTTAGGTATCAGCACATCGTGCCGCAGCTGCGACTTGTCGACAGGAGTACGACGCCAAGTACCCGAAGATAGCTGCGGAGATGAAGACCGGCAAGTGCCCTTCACCACCCTGGACCTGTCCACCTTCTAGTCTGTTTACCAGGACTTTATTCATTCCAGTCTGGAGGGGATCCGTGTAGTTTCCGACGGACACTTCGTCGAACGAGAGTTCTAGACAATGAGGTCCTCAGCCTCACTGTCGTTGATTTCTTTGGCTTCTTAGAGTCGTCCCCTTCGAGAACCCCTCTGAAACCCCAGAAAAGCCTCGACAAACCTCTCTGAAACCCTCATGAAACGACATGGAATCCTATGAGAGCCCGATAAAACCCGAGCTAACACCCTTAACCCTGAACCCTAAACCCTCAACCCTACAGGTATGCCGATGTCACAGAGCTCATGAAGGCGAAACCCGAGATGAAGATGAAGGAGTTCTCGAAGCAGTACGCCGACGCCTGAATGAGGGGTTTAGGCTTTAGGGTTGCTGTCATACGGTTGGCTATCAGGGGTTGTAAGTTGCTATCCGGGGGGGGGGGGGGGCTTTTTTTGGGTT